GAAAATTGTAGCTTCGCGAGCGCAGTCGCTAAACGCAACCCATTGGAAACTGTCATCCAGGCAGATGCGAAATGTGAAGTAGGAGGGCCGCCGACCCTAAAGTTAAACTTGCTCAAGATATTCATAGGCAAAAAATATGCTGCTATCCAAGTTCCTTAAGTGAGCAGAACCAGTCGATCTCTGACACATAACTGGGTGGAGTAAAGATTAGCGAACGCCTGTTCAAACTTCTTAACTACCCATTTTCACGTTTTTAATATTTCTTAGGGAACTGAACAGGTAAAATGAGCAACATTTTTCAAAGAACTGATGGATGACAGTTACTATCCGTGAACTTGTGTGCGATTTAAACACGCCAAATGCTGGTTTTTTCAACACTAAGCAATAAATTTTCGATAGTTGGAGGACTTGTAGGGTTGGGAACATTAGAAAATCGTGTTAGAGGTTCTGGTACATCTAGAGGAAGAATGTTGCTTCTATTTGCTATTTTTGTAAGAGTGATCATTCTGGAGGCGGCAATCGATCTACACCTTTACTGTTAAAAGGGCACTGCTGAGTGAAGTTCCCTATTCGAGTGAGATTACCTTCACTTCATTCGACTGGATGCGACAACGACCATCTGTGGACCATCGACTCGGATCAACGTGGCTCTAAGGAAGGCGAAGGCACCGAAACTTTAGCAGAATAAAAGTTTATGAGAACCTCGTGTTAGCCCGACCATGTAGAAAATTTTTGCCTTGAGTTATTGAATGAACACTCAGAGTACATTATGTTAGCTCTAGAGAAACCGAATCGGGCGTGTGGCGCAGTGGCTGAAGGCGCCACTGCGACACACACGTGGAATCGATCTCTGCGCCCAAGCTTTCCATTCCTCCGGGGTAGGCAAATTGGTATCAGACTTGTCTGGGAGGAAAGCAGGACTAGCTCGATACATCGGTAGGCCACCGTGAGTAATTGTAAAGGCCAGATATGCATTCAATCACCTCCAACGATATTTAATGAAGTCGCGTGCATGGCGCATTCCTCAGGGATTGGTCAACGCCGAGAGCTTTATCCTTTATTTTTATCCTAGAGAAACCGAAAGAAAATTAATTGTCCCGTAAGCCCTCACAGACAAAAAGAGGGTTTGTGAAAAATATATTCCCAACAGCAGCAGGAATGTGCACAGGAATTTTGCAGGCAGAATAACCCACGGAATTAGCACTGCCAATGGCCATTTCAAATGGTAACGAAACTGTAGCCCCTCGGCATGGGTGCAGAGAAGAAACGCGCCTTTAAATCAATCCAAAGATATTTATAAATTATTAATGTCGACGTTAAGTGAAACTCTATTTAGTAAAGTATTAAAGCAGGTACACCACTAGGACGCACCAAGGACACGGACGTAATGGAGAAAATTTTGTAGTAGAAGTTACCATTCTAACAAAAGAGTTTAAAAGTTCAGCGCTAAAACCCTCGAAGCGTTTGGGACAAATCACAATGCTTAACATATTATTTATTTCCTGTTCTTTTTTTTAATGGTAGGGTATTATATTAAATACAACGACAGGAATGCTATGATATGAGTAAAACCCGAACCTCAGTTGGCCCTCGAACCTGTTATCACCCTTAGCAGCGGCTCACGTTCTATCTACCACAGCAACCAATGCCTTTGCTTTGTCTTTCACTCAGCCAGTTATTTACTCTAATTGTGCTATCATCAATCACCTGCCAACGGAAGTGATCTGAGGGGTATAAATCACCATTAGACCTAATTAAGCTGGAGCTTTACCATTTTTGATTCACTCAGTGTTTTCCACTCATTTTGGTGGTCGAAAATCCAATATTATGGCCTAGAGCATGTCATCTGACAACGACTTCAACTCGTGGCTCGATCGACCCACCGCGAGTGACACTGAAGAAAATGGGGATGTGGGGTGTCGATGCACGATGCCCAGAGATTTTTGGGGTTTGTTTACGACTGATATTTGGACTAAAGTTGAGCTACGATCAAGGGAAACTGGTCATGGGCTCAAGAAACCCTGGCAGTTCACCGCATGGCTATTCTTCGGCCTGGTCTTCCAAGTTTGGTGAACTCTTGGAAGAACTGTAGCGAACATTAGTGAGTAACCTCACTGTCTGACTTCAAGGTCGGGTTCTGCTACTTTTGTTATGTTGGATGCGGGACTGTTTCAACACCGTCAACTTCTCGTTGCGTTGAAGAAAACGGCATAGAGCCAATGTGTCGAAGGTCACAAAAATATTAGAGAGCTCTACAATCGAAAATAAGCTGTTGTACGTACTGGAAAGGTTAGCATTAGATGCAGTGTTAAGTTTTTAGTCAAGATTTTGAAGACTACTATGATGTTGAGATATTTGCAAAACTTGGACGCCAAGCAAAATAGAACTCGAAATTACCCTTTCCGGGAGATCACGTGTTGCCCACTGCACCACTGAGGTCCTTGCTTTGTTTTTTTCTCAGACAATAAAGAAAAACAAGACTGTAACTTTTTTCAGGCTCCGGGTACGTAAAAATGATCTCCGAGTGAGTTCCTTTGATTATGATTGTAGATAAGAATTACTATTTGGATACTTGTATGGCCCGTCTTCATTGGTTGTGAGGGGCCCAGCATAATGTCCATTTTTCGGAGTTCTGCTAGTCTAGCCAATGTAGCGCCCTGGAGTTTCGAGGTTAGCCTGGACAAGGTTTTCCTCAGGTCGTTACCACCACAGACATTTGCCGCCCTTGTGGATTTAGCTGGGCTTCCTGATGGAAATGCTGGACTGTTTCTCAGCTTGGGAAACGCTGCTGCTGCTGAGGTGGTGAATCCCCAATCACCCCCCCTGTTCATCGTAGCGGGAAACCGAGGAACACCTCCCAGCCACGATGACACGGTAAACCGTTTGGAGGAATGAAGAATTGCAAGATGTTAATGTCATTATTGTTGTCGTTATTAGTCATCACCGTTAAGTCACATGATGCTGGATATATACATACATATATATCGGATACATGTGCACTATAAAATGTAAGCTGCCTGCTGTAAAGTGAATGTAAAGTGGAAACGTGATGGGACTTGAAAAGTGTCTCGTAAGGCAAACTGTGTTTAATGCCACTGACGAGCGCATGCTCAGAGAACACTAGGTCATTTTAAGGATGTCTCCTTTGATGGTCTTATCCTAGCCAAAGCTTCACCTAAGTTTCGGTCCCATCCTACCCAAAGCTTTCCCTCTGTCGAATCCCAGAGTTCAAGTAGAGACGTCCCTGTGCTAATTCACTGGCCATACTGTCTACACACTCTCCAACCGCAATAGACCCTCACGCGAGATGATCTCGTCTAAGCGGGGATTTTTTGCAAATTATTAGGTGTAGAGTTAATCTTTTAGCAATGTCGCTCCTGAAATTGGATCTGCGTTTGACAAGAGATCGATAAAATGCAAAAAGTTGGGTAAAATACCTTCGTAAAGCAATATTAAGTGACCCTTTATGTGCTAACACTCCTCCCCCAAACACTTCCGTATTTTCTCGTCGGGCGATAACACACGTCAATCTAGCCATCGGCCACGACCGGTTTTTTGCGGACCTCCTCATTTCATAACGGAAGCAATTGTTTAATACGTAGTATTGCTGTTGTAATCGGTATCCATATACACCTGGAATTAACTTTTTTCCATTACTTTTCACCACATAATGCGTTTGGTGTTTATTTTAACCCATAAACTTTTTTATCTTACGTATTGTAGGTATGTGGCTTAATCGACCGCTACAATGCGGTATTTGGACCATCGTTTTCGTATCAGTGCTGGCAGAAGATGCCAGTACTGCTCAGCAACGGGAGAAGAAATTGGTTGCACTGAACAGCGAAACAGAGAGTGGTCCAGCAGAAAAAGCTGTTAAGACGACTTTCGGTGAGTTTTTTTTTATTATTAGAAGTAGTGTGTAGCACACGGAAATTGTTATGAAGAACTGAACAGGATTACCGCAGTACCCTGGAAGATGAAGTTTGGGCTGAAGTAGTTCTATCCAGTCCGGCTTCTTCTGTCCCTTCTTGGTTTTTCTGCTTATTTTCACCTATTCATGTGACTCTTCTTCGCGTATTATGCTGATGCCATCGCTTATTTTTGTTATTTTGCTTCCGTTATCCACAAAAGCATTCGGATTTGCCCGTGGGTCCGACTATTACTTGAGAATTCTTTCATCATAACGCTAGTTGAATGGTATAACTGTGCTATAGTTCAAGCCCTCACCTCAGTTAGTCTATGACCTTTATGGGTCTGACGCAGTGTTACCCACGCAAGTTCGCTGGCAATTTGCCGACCCTGAAGGGATGCAAGGCTTGGTTGGCTCGAGGATTTGTTGAAATAGCAAGCATATGTGGCACGGCATCGCTAACTACTGCTTTTCTTAATATCGTAGCCCAATTCTTATTTTCATGCGTTTGCATCATTATTCAGCTGATCTCGGCATTTCTTCTGACGACATTGAAGATCTTGGTGAAGATTCTGTTCCATTGCCACCGGCACATCTAACGCCTGGCGACGAGTATGTTCCAGAAAAACCTTCTCCAACGAGGTTTGTTTTCAGAGCAGTCATTATTAATTCGTTGAGCTACCTAGAAAGAAGTGCTATGGATGTCACTAAGATTCTATGTGGCTGTAAATTTTTGTACTGGAGCTCGTAATGTGTAGAATAAACTTTCCTTTGGACAACTGCAATTACCTAATGTTTTAAAGGGAAAGAAATCAGTGGTAATTGTAGGGAACATTCTGTGAAGTACAAAGTACTTCGAGAATTATATAGACATATTCGATGTTGTTCCACTGACTACCTAGTGAGCACTGGACTCGTCATGCTTCCAAAACCATCAGCCAAGGGGCGAAGAAAGCCGCTATAAACCAGAAGACCAGTCATGCTGGAGACAGGAAGAAAAAGCATCGTTGAGAGTTATTCCGTCTACATCTACCGTGTACTCAAGCAGGTTCATCCCAGCACGGGAGTTTCGTCGAGAGAATTGTCGATAATGAACTCGTTTGTGAACTACGTCTTCGAACGTATTGCTGCCGAGGCTTGTCGTCTTGTTGCTACCAAAACCATTTTTACAAGCTATCGACCATCTCTTTTCGCGAAATCCAGTACGCCGTCCGATCGATCCTCCATGGAGAGCTCGCCAGTCAAGGCACAAAAGCCGTTACCAAATATTCCTGTTGTTGTTAGAACATGAGATTTATCTTCACCATACCGGCATAGATAGGTAAACTTAGTGGTAATTTTGCTCTAGAACAAGGTTTTTATGACTTTAGTTCCTTTTTGCAAGCCTTTAACGCTTTAGGACTTTGTTTTCAACGTTCCCAAAGAATTGCAGGGTTTGCTTGTTGTAAATTTGTCGTCTGCTCTATTATTTCAGGGCTCACAGTTTATATCAGAGTCCATGAAAAATTATGAAATTTGTTTGTACTGCCTTATCACTTGTTTTCGAATCCAGATGACTTTGTATGGTTGGTTTTTATGAAATTGGATTTCAGTGTTCTTTGTTTAAGTGATGAACATTTGGAAACCACTTACCAACAAGCACTGAGATTCCTTGAACGTGGAAGCGGCCATGGGATTGAGGGTAAAAAGGCTGCATATCGTCTACTTGATCAAGCTGCACAACAAGGACATACAGATTCGATGAAATTGATGGGTTTGTTTCCTTTTTTTCGGTGTCTCTCTTTATAGGCGATTTACAGCAGTTTTTAGCATTCGCTCATTTATTCGGTGATCGTGCTCGGTGGTCTATCGACGAAGCGAAAAAGATATTTGAAGAACTGGCTGAAAACGGTTCGCCGGATGCACAACTTGGTGAGAATTGTTACACCTATTTTTCAAGATGAATCAGTAGGGTCTTGCCTTATTTGTAGTTTAGGCCTCGCATTCATGCATGCTACTGGCCTAGGTATGGCCAAATCGAACCAAGCGAAAGCTCTGGTTTACTACATGTTTTCGGCTCTTGGTGGTAACCCACTTTCACAAATGGCGATGGTTAGCGTCAGAATGTTTTTCCTTCAATAATTTAGTTTCTTCCATAGTAGTGATTGTTTTTCTACTTGCACTCTATTTTGTTTTAAATGATGTCACATGGAAGAAGGATGTAGTGTATAACAGTTTAGTTTTTGTAGTATTAACAAGTTCACAATAGACTTTAGTCTTCCTACTTGATTGAGAATTCATTTAACTTCAGGGCTATCGATATTACGCAGGGATTGCTGTCCCTCAAAATTGCGAAAATGCTCTGTCTTATTACGAAAAAGCAGCAAAGAAGGTAGCGGATGGTTTCAAATTCTCTACTGGTCTAGCTATTCAACGCATACGACTGACAGATGAAATGGTAAGCTGCCGTTTTTTAATAAATATTTACTACAGTGGACTTGCTTTGCTCGTCCATCTCGGCAAGATCTTTAAGAGCCTTTAGGAACCGTCATCAACAAATACCGTGGCCGCGCCGATGGATCAGAATTTAATCGAATATTATCGTTTCCTGGCTGAGAAAGGAGATGTTTCTGCACAAGTATATGTTATTCTTTTACTAAATCACTAAGTTTTTGGTTGTTCCGCGTTTTATTTAGAAAATTGTGTTTATGAACAGGTGGGCGAAAGGTAGTGTTTCACCTCGGCGTGTTATACTGGGTTTTTGCAGTTTTTCTTCCCTCCTGATCGTTTCCGCGATTCTTTTTCCAGATTATATTCAATAGCAATATGCAGGAATACTTGTGGTGACGCCGTAGAAACAACTCGGTCTTTTAGGTCGGTCTTGGGCAACTGTACTTGAGCGGCGGACGTGGCGTGGAACAAAATTTCGAGTTGGCCAACAAGTGAGTTTTCAGGTCTTTATACTTCTGTGGAGCGCATAATTCGATGGATAATTCACCAAAAGGGGACTTGTTCGCAGAAATTTTGTATATTTCACAGATACTTTTCTTCGGCAGCCGAATCTGGTCACGCTGGAGCATTTGCCTTTCTTGGAAAGATGTACCTTGACGGGACTCACGTAACGCCACAAGATAATGCAACGGCGTTTAATTTTTTTCTCCGGAGTGCTGACAAGGTAGCGAACATTACAGATTTTCACTAGGTCATCTTTAGATTCTGTTAAATTATGTACTTCTTGCCTTTATTTGCGATTCTGTGTCTTTCATCATACATTTATCTGACCTTTTTGAGACGTCTATTTCATAAGTCATGTCACCCTACTCGCGCTCAAACTTTATCTCTTACACAATGTTAAAATACGGTAATATCTGGCTGTATAAAAGGAATTTCCATCTGGGCTGTTGCTCAGTAATGCTGCGATACAGCTGTTTTTTCTTTTTCTCAAACACACTAAGTTACTTGCTTGGATCCTCGGATGGCCTTTCTTCACGAGAAGTACAAGGCCGTGGCATATCGTCCATTCGTTTCTTTCTTGCACAAACGTGGTCATTGATGGGTTGATATAAGTCAATAACACGCCCATGATTCGTTTATGTGATCGTCGGAGAAGATGCTTACATCTCCTTGTAGTTCACCCACATTTCTTTTCTGTTCTGAGTACAAATCGGCCCATCTGCTCTGCACAATCGTTGTATATTCTACTGAGTTTCGAAGGTAGAATGGGAAAGTTCTAAGCTCCTTATTCCAGTTGCGAGTGCCCTGCAACACTTTAAAAGACATCGTTGAAGCGCTGTGTGAAGGGTGCTCAGAATTTTCAACGTGGTTGGAGTCGTCAGACCACGTCACAGCTGCATAAGGTGTATAACAGAGCGCAACATATCTTAAACAATGTATCTGTGGATCATCGACTCAGATCCACGCGGCTCTGAGGAAGGTGAAGGTGCCGAAGGGTTAACCGAGTAAAAGCTTGTACCAACCTCATGTTAGCTCAATCATGTAGAAAATTAGATGTTAATATAGATGATTCGGTCACCGTAACACCATTGGTTTCTCATGAACTAGGTCTTCGTCCTGTTTATTCGCAGTCAAATTCTTTCTCCAATCTCTTTGAGCTTATTGGTCACTGTTATAGTTTTACCCTAAGGGGACGGTTGTATTTTCGTGATGTAGTCACAAAAGTTGTGGATAGAGTTTTTATAGATGTACGGGTCGACTTTTTGGTGAATCGGTGCTGATAGGACTGCATTCGTTTCGACGCTATCGAATGTTCTCTCATACTCGGAAAAAAAGAACAAGCACCAGGTTATTATCCGATAGAAGTCCGTGACCTAGATTGCGGTTTAGATATAGTCCACGCAGCAGAATCTGTATCGAGATTCGGATCGCTCAACTAGTTTTACTTCATCCAAGGTCCTTGATCTGCCCAATGGAATGAACTTGGTGAATAGCTCGTAGAGTATGTTCAATGAGTATATCGACGATAGTTACGAAGATTCCTTCGGTCCCCCTTCTTGAGCAGCATAACCGTTCGCGACATCTTACACTGCTTTGAGATTACTTCTTTTTGAAGATAAGATGTTTTATGGGTTGCGAGAAGTAGGGTTAATGGCGTTAGCTCAAAGAAACTCGGTTGCAACAGTATCAGTTCTTGGAGCAGTGCCTCTTCAGGCTTTTTATCACAGTTTGTCGTTCAGCGATAAGAAGGACCCTTTTTTCAACAGTGGTTTTAGAGTGCGAGAAGGAAATTGTAGAAGAAAAAAGATTGTTAAAGAACATTTCCGTTATTAATTCCATATCATGGTACAATGTGTTATTAGATCTGTTCTCATTAGAGGCGGTAGTGGCACACTGCTCACACAGGTCCGGACCATACTTCAAAATAGTTCGTTTTTAAGCTGTTTCTAAGAAATTTTCTGAATGTACTGATACAAGTCCTTTGAATGCCTTCTACAGCTGTCATTTATAATCCCCAGTGCTATATGCGTTGCAGTATGGTAGTGCTTGTTTCCTTTTTTTCTCTTTTGGAGTACCTCAGCAGTAATGGAGATGCAGCCAGAACTTTTTTTGAGGAACTGGGACGAATTCGATTTTATTCAAAAGGTTCTCGTCAAACACAACTTGTTTTATTCTTGGGCGACGATAATGCTTTCTCATTCTATGGCTGAATCGAATCCTTGCATGGAGAATATGCTGCAGATTCAGTGCAGAATAATGGCACCACGGAGTTGTCAAGAAGACACCATTTTCTATTTCTGCAGACATTTCCGATCTTTGCGTGAATCGTACCCTTAGGGCATTTGTCTACTTAGTGGCGATTTTCTGCCTCCTCAAAAAATGGGTTCCCATGGAAGTGAGGTGCTGTAGACGAGAATTCTGCGAGACGGTTTCCACCTTTACTTCCATTTTCTATCTCCAATTTTTCCATCTTATGTTCATCTTCGTTGGCCCTTCCTAGTTTTGCATTGAAGTAATTAACAAAGAATTCATAGGACCTTTCGTTGCGGATCATTTCCTCCGGCTGGTTATAGAACGCGTACGGATCGATCTTTTCAGCTCCGCAGGTTGGGGTGTAGCAGCTGATGGTGCTTATCTTTCAATGACGCAGAAGATGGAGAATGTGGAACGGCTAGGTCAGGTGATAGGATTTCGTATAAAGCGATTTGGTGGGAAAACATGGGTTTGCGATAAAGCCAATGCCGCCGACGTCCCGTAACGGAATTTTTCGTCGACAAATGACAAGGGTCCCGTCATATAATTAGTGTACATAGATCTTGCTGCCTCTCAGACGATCACCAGGTAGTTAATGTGATTTGCCTTTTCAAGAGAATCATAAAAAATCGGCGTCAGAGGAGACTGCTTTGGTTTATGGGTACGGAGCAAGGTGTATCATGAGCCGTTTCGTTTGGTGCAGTTTCCAATGTCTTCCTCTGCAACCCGAGATTTATCGCCTCTTACCGGTTGTCTCACCGCCCGATGTTGTAAACGGGAGTGCTGTTTACCTGCGTGCGGAATGCTGGGGTTTTTCATCGGCAGTTTGGCTACTAGTGGCTCCTTGGAGTCCCGAGTTTGGCATAGTTGAAGCTTTCTTCGTTACCGGAGGCAGTCCCGCTGATAGTTGTGGAGTACAGAGAATTTCCCATCTTGAAACTAGTTCATATCAAAATTGCTGTAATTGTTGATATTGGTTTAAGTATCGGGCTCTTTCTGACCTTAAGAGACCTTACTGTGGTGGTAAATCTCTCCATCCCTTCTATGTCTCATTTCGACGCGCTGAAACATCCGCAAGCTACGGTGAGGCAGCAAATCACTGCGGGCATCATGTTGAGGTTTTGTTGAAAAATCAAATGATGGTGACGTCACGGAGTGAATATTTCATTTATTAGGGTTAATCTTTACTATATTTGTGGTGCAGTGGTCGGAGGCAGCCTGCAATACGCATGGGATCGATCCCGGCGCCCCAGGCTCACCAAGTCCTCCCCTCCGGACTGTAAATTGGTGCCAGACTTGTCTGGGAGGAAAGCAGGACTGGCTCGATACATCGGTAGGCCATTGCGAGTCATATACATATATGCGAGTTAAGGCCAGATATGCATTCAATCACCTCTAACGATGCTTAATGAAGTCGAACGCATGACGCATCCTTTAGGGACTGATCAACACTGAGAGCTTTATCCTTTATTTAATCTTTACTGTGTTTTAGCCGTTGTACATGTGCTTGCGAGTCAAGTAATTGTTATGTTTGGTGATAGTTTAACTTGACACACTTGACACTTGGACGACCCGTCATCACTATTTGTGCGGCCCCCGGCATAATCACCACTTTTCGGAGATTTGCTGGTTAAGCCACTGTTGTTTCCTGGAATCCCGGGGTTAGCCTGGCCAAAGTCTGCTCCAGGTCTTCACCACGACAGGCAGTCGCAGCTCTTGTGCATCAGAGGGAGATTTACTACCATGCGACCTTGATACCAAGACGGTGGTGGATCCTGGTATTGGTTTACTCTTAGCTAGGCTTCCTGATGGAAACGCTGGACATCTAAGCTTGGGAGACCCTGCCGTGGGGACGATTCCTCCCACTGTACATCGCAGTCCGACACCCAGCAACACCTCCCAGCCACTATGAGGCGGTAAACCGGTGGGAGGGATAGTTTAACTACTGACACCGAGGTTTCTAAATCTGTTTCACTTATGTATTGCGCAGTAGCACTGATTTTAATATTAAGTATAAACGACAGTCTTATTTGTCACTTCACCTGCTTCACCTATCCTACAGTGCTCGTCGAGTAAGTGGGAAGGTCCAACTGACGTCATAAGCAGTGACATCTTTTTCGTCTGCAATCTTTGTAAGGAATTCTGGACTTCGTGTCGGTGGTGTTCCTCTTTTGTTTTTAACATCTCACGAGAGGGTCACTAGTGGTCCGCTTGATTTCCTATGTTCGGGTTGCCTAGTCCTATTACCCTTTATGCGTTTTCATTGCCACTTATTCCCACCTGCTCAGTTTTAGAGCTAACTTGTTTGTCTTGTTAATTTCTACAGCGACATATCCACAACTGGTGAATTCCGTAGTCGCACCGTTGAGTATGAGTAGGGCATTATAAACAATTCCTTTCTCATAAACATTGTTTCCTTCACGTTCGGTTGAACACCAGTCTTCTCATTCGTGCTGTCATAGTGAATTTTCTTTTCGCATAGCTAGTACTAGTTCGAAGAATGGTGTCCCTAGCAGGACGAAAATTATGTGGGTCATCGATTTGCATTCCCACGTTGTCATCGCTAGTGTCTTCTCTCGTCTATAGTCTCTGAGTTTCAGGTCTTTAGTGGAAGTTTTTGAGCCAGATGTTTACTTTTTATGCATCTATCGTCACTATATTCCTATATTTTGACAGTTTGTAATATTTCTTAGATTTTAGCATGGCGTCCTCATCCCGTGTAATCTCGTTTGGTCTTGTCGGTGACTGTATTGGAGTAGAAAGAGTAGTCCCATTTGTTTTTAGCTTTAACAGCTTTGGGGTTTTGGCGACAGTCACGACTAGTCTGCGAGTTATGCTCAGTCGTCCGATATATCTATAGATGACTTGATTTGTTTGAGCAGTTAATACTTTTGGAGCAGGTATATGGTCGCGTTTTGCTCTCTGAAAGCCACATAGAGTCGCGCCTTGTCGTTACTAACCGACTTGAGGCTTCGCTATTAAGGTAATCAGCTAAGATTAGATCCAAGGGGCGGGTTAAAATGAAAACTTTATAGAAGTGCGGGTAGCATCTTTTTCACCTACAGTTTTGCTGTACCTCTGTCTGGCTGCTGCGCAATCGAAGTCGTTGGCAGTGTTTTTCGCTGTATTGGGTACTCTCTCCCCACCTTTTATTCATAATTTGGTTGTTCGAATCGTTTTTAAAAATTTGATGAGGCTTGAATTGTGGTGTATTTCCGCTAGAAGAGTTTTCTTATATTGTGTTTATCCTAATTTTCTTTTAGGGAAATCAAAACGGTCAAGCTGGCCTGGGTATTATGTATTTGCAAGGACGTGGTGTGCGCAAGGATTACGAGAAGGCATATCGACTGTTTTCTCTTGCAGGCGAACAAGGCTGGGTAGACGCTCAGTTATATCTTGGAGAAATGTTTTTCAGTACGTATCCCCTATAGATTCTTGCTACCAACATGATACAAGCAAAAGATGACATTGTGTGGAATGGAACACAATGTCGTGCTGACATCGCAAGTATACAATTTGATGTTTAGAAGGCCTTGGTGTGAAGCGAGACTTTAAGGCTGCTTTGAAGTACTACCAAATGGCGACACAAAATGGTCACGTGCTTGCATCATACAACCTTGCACGAATGCATTCTTCCGGTGAGTACTTTGCCAGCTATTGAAAGCAAACAATTGTCTCTTCAGGTCAGAACAGACAGTGATTGATTGCTATTTTTTTATAGGAATCGGAGTAATGAGACAGTGCAGCACGGCTGTGGAGTTTTATAAAAATGTTGCAGAACGTGGACGCTGGAGTGAGCGGCTAATGGAGGCATACAGTGCATACAAAGTCAGAGTGAATGTTGTTACCAGTGTTCGTCATTCATGCTGAAAAAGACTTTTGCAAGCGTGGTTAAGCAAAACTCGGAACCTCAGATGACCTTCGAACGCGCACTTATCCTAACCTTGGGTTCAGGTGATATCTGCCACACCTACCGAGACCCTTGCTTCGCTTTCTGCTCAGTCATGTTTTTACTCTACGGGAACTATTGGAAATCACCCATCAACAGCATTGGTGCGGGAGGCACAAATTTGCTTTGAACCCAGTTAAACTGAATCTGTAAACAAAAATCGCAATATTTTCACTTCTAAATATCACGTGAGCCTAAGGTGAGGGTAGCTCCAGGCTCGAAGTTCAGCTAATGTCCAGGCTTTTGCTCCTATCTCAGCATGCTTATTGTTGTATTTCACACAGTGCCTTGCCGTGAAAGAAATTAGGCGGCGTGTATAAGTCGGTATATTGTGGTACTTCGAACTTCTTTTAACGTACTCATTCGAGTGTTTTCAGTGCCTGCATAAGTAACGGCTAAATAATTAGAACCGCTTTGAAGAATCACAAGGATTTGATAGTTTCTTTTCAGGATGGTCGTCGAGACGAGGCAGCTGTGAAGTATTTGTTTCTTGCTGAACTCGGTTATGAACCAGCACAAACTAATATTGCATACATTCTTGACAGAGGTGAGTTGGGAGAACTGTTATTCGATTCAAATTCTTGTAGAAGTTTTTTTAGTCGATCCTCTTACCATATTATCAGCAATTTAATACTCTTTGTCTCCAAGGTTGAATCAATGTTGACTATTACTTTATAATTTGTCTTGGATTTTGCTCTATTTCTTTTCTTTCGAGAATTTTCAACTGTTTTTTCTTCATGTATTGAACAAATTCATCTCAAATGTGCTGCATGATTAGATAAGTTGAGAATACATTGTATAACCATCAAGGAACTCTCCATCATTGGTATATTTAATTTTTCTACACGGTCGCTTTCCATATCTCCTGTCCGGATCCTAGCACATGATGATCTATGGACTTCTCCAGTGTGGGTTCGACTGATCATTAACGATTGTCCTCTTATGAGTGTCGTTGAACGCTGGTCGAGTCGATTGTTTTTGGAGTCCTTGGTTGGCCCGGACTAGAGCATTCCCAATTGGATTGTAGGAAGTGAACCTTTCCCGGAAAAGTTTGATAGCAATTTTCCGGCTTAGAAGGAATTAGAGGCCCAGTAAACCTAGGGTAGGATCAAACCAACGCTATGCTGGTGAGCAACGGAGTCATTGCCACTTTTCTACCCAGAGTTCCACTCACTTCGTTATCATATTCTACATTTTTATTTTGTCATCGAGAATTACTTCTACATGCGGTTATGAACTATTGCCTGCAAAAAATATTTCTTCAGGGGAAGCCGATTCATTATTCCCAACATCTAAGGAAAATGTTTTGGAGAGGGCTATTGTACAATGGCAACGTGCGGCTAACCAAGAGTACCCATTAGCTAGAATTAAGCTAGGTGACTACCACTATTACGGATGGGGAACGCCAGCTGACTATCAGCAGGTAATGGTATCAGTACTTTTCGCTGAGTTTGCAACAGTTCTTAGTGAACTGGGTATTTCATTTGCTTCTATTTAAAATGAAGCACTATTGCGCCTAATTTTACAGGCTGCTCAACATTACAAATTAGCGGTCGAACGCCATGCTACGGCGCAAGCCATGTTTAACTTAGGTTTAATGCATGAACAAGGACTTGGAATCACCAAGGTACTTTTATATTCCATGCTGTTTTATATTAATTGTAGGTTATAAGTATTGCCATGTTATACATGAATATGTATTTTTATGTACATGCACATTTTTGGATACCTGATTGCCCGTCTTCACTGGTAGATTGGGCCCTAAAACAATTTCCATTCCATTTGTTTCTTTCTCGCAGAATCGTCGTGTCATGACGGTGGTCTGCTTCGTTGTGACGTGCGCGAGCTATGTATGCATATATATATACATATAGATATATGTATATATATATATATATATATATATGTGAGCCTGTCCTCGTTGCGTTCGAGCAAGATATTGCAACGAAGAGCCTTCGTTTGATTTGAGACTTGGTTAATCAATCTGTAGATGTCATGGAAGAGTTGTATCCTTATATCAATAACGGGGGAGCTCCTAATTATGGAAGTCAGCTGCTTTGTTGACGAGTTGATACGATGATATCGTTTCGACAACTCTTTTTTTCTTCTGGTCGAGGAAAGCTGGTTCCTTTGGGAAAGGTTTTTTAATTTGAGAATTGGGCCCACGCAGCAGTATATAGAGTTGGGAGCTTTTAAAATGATATTTCTTGTCTTACATCTTTATCGATATGTCATTTATGAAAAGGACATTTATAGCTCTCATTTTTTGAATGAATATGTCTTTTAGGATCTTCACTTGGCAAAACGTTTTTACGACATGGCTGCCGAACAGAGCTCCGACGCTGCAGTGCCAGTGGCATTAGCTTTAGCTAAGTTGGCTGTGTTGTTCGTATTAGAAAAAATCAACAAGGTATGAATAGTAGAGTGAATGTATGCATGTTTTTCTTTCTCTTTCCAGTGTTTTGAATTTAAAAGATGGAATTGTTCCATTTAGCATCCCGTCATTCAGTTGTTAGAAAGCTATGTTGGACCTAATTGGGACATTATGGCAATGACCATTCTCGCTGGTGTTCCTTTGATTGTCTTTATTAGGTGGAGGAGAGGACACAATGCTTAGAAGTGGTATTTAATTTGTTCAAAAAGGTTCTATTTTTCGTTAGGTATGTAATAATTGGGTGTTTTTATCATTTCGTCTTGTTTTTCAACAACATTTTGTGGGGGCAAATCTAAGGTGGTGCTCTAAGGTAGTTTGCTTTCACGTCATTTTCATGTTTATGAACTTTTGGAAAGACTTATATTCTTTCTTGTCGTGGAACTACTAGTAGTAGTGATTAGTCACGATTGTCTTGAAAGTGTCTGAGTTCCTACCGTCAGAACACGCAAAGATTCTGTTCAGCTTTTTCTTTCTTATGAGGACATTACACGTACGTTTTTATTAGCTGTGGACATTTATAGGTAGGATAATCTATTTTCTCTGCATCTTCATCTTCAGAGACCAAAATCATATCGTTTAGTTCATTTAGAATATCACTTGAAGTTAATATTTCAATATAACATTGTTAATGGGAAGAATTTAACAAGTATCTTAATGCTAGACTCATCCTTAATCTTTACTTGTGCTCTCATTCGATTTTTTCTCTTTTTAAAGTAAACGAAAGAATTTGATAGTTGTTACCCTCTTATGGATATCAAGCTGTGATATTACTGTTTCTACTGTTTTTGTTTGTTCAATGCTGATGCTCTTAATGATGCTCTAAGAGCTGTCTTTATACGGTTACGGTCAATGTTCCCAGTTGTTGAAGTTAGTGATATGAAAATAAATTGTTTGTACAAACAAGTTCACCGTTTACTTGTACGCGTAGCCATTTTCCGGCCACTTTGTTTTGTGCAACCTTTTTTCTGTTTTTCAGACATCAATATCACTGATGGTTTTTTAGAGTTCGATTATCTAGAAGATCTAGAAATTTTAGATCTAGAAAGCATGGCAACGCTGTTACCATTTACTCAGATTCGTGGCAATACGGTAAACTTCTTTATGAGAAGTAGGTTTTTTTAACGGTCGGGGTTTTCTTCTATATAGCACGACATCACATGTTGAACAGGTCTCAGTACATCCTGTATTCTATTTCTTTCCTCGCATCTATCGCCCACTAGGATAGCTATAGTTGTGTATTGGTTTGACTCCTACCTGAGGTTTTTTAAAATCTCTTGTGAAGGTTGACGAATGGTAATCGAGTCAGTTCTCCTGAAATCCATAAATCGCTATACTAGATAAATACTAGATGAGCTTTGTACCAGTTTCCTGCCCTGGGCTAGTGAGGGCCTGGTTGTTTCAGGGAGCAGGTGGTGGGTGATTGAACCGGTTGAACCAACGCCGTGGGCATGTTGGAATTATACCACTACCACTGTGCCACTCACATCTTGGAAATGTATAGTGGAAATAAGAGCTGAATTGAGTTCGAGTTTGCTACACAAAGTAACTTTCACTACTGAAGTTTCGAAATCATCACTTCATAATTTCCATTCTATAGCTTCAAAACTATGTACTTGTTGTGAAACTTCCACTGACGACGTAAAAACTCCACTAAATCACCAGTTCTCGTTTCAATATTTGATTTCATTAAAGAAAGAAATCATGACTTAGGAACATCTGGTGAGTTGTGGAAAACGATTACAAGTGTTTCTAAAGCTGGTCAAAAAAAGGGGAGAATGACTACAAGACAGCCAATTCGGCCTTTGAATCGCTTCTATAGAATTGGTTCAAGTGGGTTTTTTGACACAAAATTCTTCGTATTTTTTGTTCACTCTGCTTGTTTCTTCAAGCACTTTCTCTCGTATTGCACAACACAGCGGATTTCCCCAATTCAAGGTCCAATGAAAGTACAGTTTCCTGGTCTCAATACGCCACTTACGACCAAAGATCCTGATATTAAAATTGTTGATCAGTCAGAGGAAGAGATTAAAGAGGGTCAACTTTCTGTTAGGAACATTCTCCAGGAACAAAAAAGGTGAGGTTCTTTGAGTTTTCAAACTATCAAATGTAGTGTTATGTTGACCAAGGTCTACAAAGCTAACACACTAATTATTTTGAAGTGGTAAACGACGCTTCCGTGAGAAGCTGCACCCAATGGAGCGCGGATTCAGTGGTACCCAGCTCGTGGGACAGAAACTTGGCCCCCCTGCACCCGTTGATGGGGTGTCTTTTGATGATTTCCAATCATATTGCCTTGAAGTACGTCCTTACTTTTACTTCCCGTATTCACTCACAAACTACTTTTTGGAATTTATGTATTTATTACTTATATTGTTTATTATGAATATTTTGTTTTCACCACATTTAATAATTATTTGGTTGCTCATTTGTTACTCTTGGCAATCATGTATCTTACAAAATTCCTTTTCAGATCAAAAGGACATCCAACATGACCAAAGTGTTTGGTCGTGTACACACCATGGCAGCCCTAGTTATAACTGGTAATGGCCAAGGTCTTGCTGGATATGCTGTTGGGAAAGTGCGTTTTGTCTGGTCTTATTATTAGTTCCATTCCTCTCTATATGTTACAGTAATGAGTGGTGTCCAAAGAAAAATCAATGTACTCCGGGCGTAAAACTTATAATCTCCTGGTTTTAACACAGTGTTAAGAAATCGTAGGTTACTTTTATTGGATGTCTTCTTGAATTCGTTTCGGAATTTATAGGCGCCACTTCACAGAACGACAACAGCGATTGTAAATGGTATGAATATGGCCGCGAGAAAACTGTTCTATGTAGATCTACTCGAAGGTCGAACAATTTACCAGGTTAACTTTGCGGCTTATCTTTTTTATTTTTGAGAGTGTTGGAAACCGAATATGAAAAATTCGTGCTTACATAGCTTGAAGTTATGTTACGCATGTGTGGCACGGTTTTCATATTGTCCTAGGTTACAGTTTTAATGTTCCTTCTTTTATTTGAGGACTTTTATGCGGAATGCCGTAATACGAGGGTGTTTGCACAGCGTCGTCCTCATGGGTTTGGACTGACGTGCCATCCAAGGCTGATTAAAATTTGTGAGGTTCGTCATTCTAGTTAAACACGCGTAGGTCTTTGAAATTAAGGTAATGAAAGTTTGGAGTTTACAACAGGTATTTGTAGCTTTGAGTCCGCTCTTTATTTTTATCTTTTCTTTATCTTTATCTTTTTATCTTTTTTTTTATTTTTTTTCTCTTTATTTTCGTTTATTATTCGGGATTTTTTCTATTGCATCGACTCAGTTCTTTTAAAAAATCCATTGTAAATCGTAACCTAAACGATCATGAATTTCTCGTATATATCACATTTCGGACCATTCGTGTAAAAATTGCTCATTTCAATGATATTCTGAAACTACCGAACTTTTGAAAGTGTTTTTTAATTAGAAGCGTGTAAAAAATGTAATGAAATGCCGTATGCGTATACGCGATAGCAGACTGACCAAGTAGTACCGGAATGAGCAGTTCCAAGACAACGCTTACAATCTGGTTATATGTCCACTGGCCATTACGTGTGCTACCTCTTCAAAACTTTTAGTGTAACCCGAATTTGCAAGTGCGTTACCATGATCTTAACATTTTTTTTTCTTTAATGCCTAGTATAATTTTTTACCGCAGAGTATCATGTGAAATACAGCTAAGATGATGCTGGGATATTTGCAAACTCCGGATCGCAGGTGTCTGCGGTGGCAAACGAACGCACTATTGTCCTTTCCGGGGAGTAACGCGTTAACTACCACACCATGCGGGTCCTTCGTTTTGCCTGTCTCTCAGTTTTTATTTTATTTTCAGCATCGTCGTAGTTGTATTTCACATGAGACTGCCGTTAAAAATTATTGTAAGCAGTGAATAAAAAAGGTTAAGATTGTGATTTCAACTTCAGCCTCAGCTTAACTAGGTTCGTTGTCGATTTGGGCTCCTTTGATCAGTTCCGTTAACGGGTGATTGCTGATGACGCCGTTCAATAGAACTACCTGAGAGACAGGCGAAACGAAGAGCTCGCATGGTATGGTGGTGAACGCGTTACTCCCCAGAAAGGACAGTAACGCGTTCGTTCCTCACCACAGACACCTGCGGTCCGGAGTTTCGCAAATATGTCAGCATCATCTTAGTTCCATTACCATGATTCTATACATAACCTGTCACCTGTCGTCCCGTTAATCGTCGAGCAACTCGAGCTGGTGCCAGTAAATTTTCCATTTCACCCTCTCGCATTCAAAGGTAGCCCACTGGGTTCTGCTCGCTGTAGGTACTCGTCGAGCATCATGTCTTTCTTTAAGGCTTTTTGTGAAGAACTCTGACCATAAGGTTGGTGGTCTTCCTGCAGTAGGTTTGACATCCCGAGGAATCCAGTCACTAAAGGCTTTTGTCAATCGGTTGTCGTTCATACGCATTACGTGTCCCGCCCACCTTATCTTCGACTGTTAGTCGTACAGAACAGTGTCTTTGATTTTTGATCGTTGACGCAGATCGGACCTCCAGATCCCATCCCTTGCTTGTGTGGAAAGGTATACTCCTAGCATCGTCCTTTCGACTGCGCGTTCGATAACGCTGAGTGACCTTTCATCCTGCTTACGCAGCGACCAGGTTTCTAACGCATACGCTAGGGCACGAAGTACCGTTGAGTCGGAAAGGTGGGCGCGGAGTCGGGTGTCCTTTGTTTTCTTCACTACATCCTCGACGCTCTTGAAAGCTCTCCAAGCCGCTCGTTTCCTTCTGCTCAACTCTGGAGCTGAGTTGTTCATCGTATTGATTTCCCGTCCTAGATAGATATAACTGGAGCATTCGGAGATACTCGTTCCGTTGAATGTGAATGGGGCATACGAAACCAATCCTTTCCTCATGAACATCGGTTTTGTGAGATTTAGTCGAAGACCAATCATTCCACAGGTTTTATCAAAGTCGGCATCGCTCCGCTTGGTTAATATTTGATGCTATAAGAACGATGTCACCAGCAAAGCGAAAATAATCTATTTGTCGGCAATCGATTTTCCATTCATTTTGTTCCATTTCAATGTTCAAATCGCGTTGGTATTGCTTTGCTTAACCATATTTTTGACGCCGATATTAATATCGTTGTAGGTTGGTAGTGTTTTTGTTGTCAGAT